TGACCAAACTATGTGGTACACTTTCGAATGGTTTTCGGTACAGTGAAGTACACCTTTGGTACAGTAAATATACATATTCAACACGAAAAAATATTTTCATGTGCGGACATTTGAGTAGTCGTCCTATTCGGGTCATCGAAAATTCCTTTCATAACTTTTGCTATACGTTTTCATTTTGAGTCCCAAGGGAGATTTTTGGCACAAAATACTTCAGATAATTTAATCTTACCAATCAATGAGTTCGATTAACTTTTGCGAAATTTCATTTGAAATTCTTACTTACTTTTGTTGAAATTAAAGACAACCACATTTTATTCACTTTTAAATAATTTGATTTATTTCCAAAATTAGTGTTTTATCGTCATCGTGAGACATCAATATATATATTCTATATATCTTTATGGCATTGTTTGCCGTGAATGAATGAATAACATATTTTGACTTTATTTGGAATTCCAGATGTATTGGTTTGTTTTGATTTTTCATTCTTAAATTGAATAATTATCGATAACTATAGTTAGGCGATAAACTAGTAGAGTTTGAAATGTGAAATAATTTGTGTTTGCTTATTTAAAAACAAAATACATTTCTGCGTGATACACATAATTCTTTATACTTGGCTAAAAATTCGATAATACTTTTTAAACAATTATTTTTTTGTTTGAAATTGAATAGCAGTTTTCTAGTTCATATACAAAAAGTTTCGTTAAAAATACGGCACAAGACTTACGTACACTGTTTTTTAAACGTTGATGTTTTGGTGGCATTATGAATGACAGAAAGTTAAGTATCAAATCACCATACCAAAATAATTTTTAATCTTTCATTCGACTCCCATTCTACAGTCAAATGGTGCATAAGACCTTTCACCAAATCGAAAAAAAGGGAAAATATTTCCACAGATTTTGGAAAATGTTCTGCATTCTTTATACGGAGAAAATACGGTATATGAAGGTATTTATTGTCGAGGATAAATAAAAAATATCGAAGCTATGGCTAAAATTCATACTTATACTGTGGTCACAGAAAGAATTCCCGATAATTTTGACACATCAACGGCTGTCGCCGTCGTTGTGGCAACATTACTATTTCGATTTGTGACAATTTGCATGTTTGTGTCATGTGGGGTGGTGGCTCCAGTCATTGCATTCATTGTTGATTCTTTCTTTTTCTTCAATGTTTTCTTGTCGATGACGGCAGTTGTGGCTTGGGTGGGTTGTTGTGTTTGAAGGTGGTAATATTGAGCTGGTGGTGCATATGAACTTTCTTGTATTTGCTGATTTTTTGATGCAATTATCGATTCTTGTCGGTGACGGCGTTCTTTCGACTTTTCCATATGCTTTTTGCGCTCTTCTTTAGTCCAATATCGGCCCATTTTCACTTCAGATATTGTATCATCTTCGGTGGTTTGATCGTTGGCTCGTTCTTCGTTGATTTTTGATGCACGCGCCGCACGTAGGGTTCGATTTCGTACCGGTCGTCGTACAATATATCTACTTCCGTCGACCCGACGCTTGACTTTCCATTCCATTCGCTCTTCGCTTGGTTGCGGCTGTATTGTATGTGTGTATGCCTGAATTATAGAAGAAGAAAAATCACATTTAAGGCAATCATTTTTATTGGCATCGTGCAGATGTTCGGATTATTTCTCCTTTTTTGAAATAACCACACTCACCTGTTGCCCACTGACAAATCTATATTGACTTAAACTCGGAGCGATAAAATTCTTTTTGGCCGGATCGTTTTGCACATCATTGTTCTTTTGATTTGCGGTCTTTACAATTGAATTTTGCTGGCAAAGAGCTTGCAAAAACATTCTCTGTTGTAGCAGCATTGTTTGTTGTAAATTCGCCAAATTCGTGTACATCGTATCACCACCGCCTGGCACAGAAGCCGGTGCATTTGGATCACACCGAACGGTAGACGAATCTGTAATGGAATTATCGAACGAGATTCATGGCATTACCTCACAGCTTTTTTTATTTTGAAAAATTGAATCAACTCTAAGTTCATTGTGAAATTATTTACCTTGATTATTTGAATGGGATTTCCTTGTGGCGGTTTGTTGTTCATTATGAAAATCTGATCGTCGATTGTGTGTTGGGCTCATCACTTTTTCCTTTTTAATGGCTGAGGTCGATTGTCGGATGGTCGGTGATTTCGAATCGTGCTGTTGCCCTGGGAATTTCGGTTGAAGATGCTTCATGGGACAGAATACAAGCGTTTTGTTGCCATCATCGTTATTTGTGTCGCTCAACTCCAATGTTAGTTGATGATTACTATTACATGAACCTCCTGTATTATATGCACTCGAACTGTTTTCATGGTCTTCGACACTTGAATTGCTTTTTGTGCTTCTTGTCCAATTGCCGGTCTTGCTATCGATGCATCGAACTTTTTGTTCATCCTTCATATTTAGCCATTCATGCACTAGATTTTGCTCGGAATCCGTTTCGCCTTTATATGGTGAACAATAAATTGGTTCCGATTCGGAATCTTCGGGGATCGTTTCGTAAATGTGTTCTGTATCAGAATCGATTTGTGGTGGGTATTGTGTCGGATAACGACGTGGTGCAGAAGAAGGTGGTTTTATTACATTTGCTGTTGGTGGTGCTGCTGCCGCCACCGCCGCTACCGTTTGGCCACTACCATTCGAAACGCTCATACTTGAAAGTTTATTGTCTAATGCTGCCGTTGGCGATGCGCTTATCACAGTTGTATTATTTGCAGATGATGTAGCCGTCGTCGATGCATTCGATTTTAAATCGGATTCGTTGAAATTAACCATTGTGTCAACGGGATTTCGGTAAATAGTCGATGCATTTATCTCGGCTGCTTCTGCAATCGCTTGTTGATTCATTGCCTGATGTTGTTTTAATAAGATACTTTCAATGCGCGAATCTAATTGGGCGATTTCATGGTTCACCGATTCCAAATGAGCTTTGATAATCGATGGATGCAACGGATTTCGCACTGCAAACGATGAATGCATTAGCTGATGATGCCACCTCGGTTGATAGTTTGGCAATAGATTTAACAGTTCCGATTGATTCGAGCTCGATGACTTGGATGACAATGTGTTGGTATTTTTGATATTGTTTGTATCGTGATTGCCGCTCTTGCAGAGTGATTCCGAAATATTTTGATTGTTGTCATTAGTACTAGCGCCCGTTGTCATCTCACACATCATTTCGGTCGATGCTGATGCAGGCAATGTGCTGCTATTAAAAACGTGCTGCAAATAACCATTTTGGTACATCGTATTATGAATTCGTTCACAATCATCAAAATAGTCAGCGTTATCATTGTCGGAGAATTCTTCGCTCTTTTTTTATTTTGCATTCCCGATTTAATCAGACCCGTTATGATTCCATTTTCATTTCCCATTTTCATTGAACGTGATAATATGTTCGGTTTGGCATTTCCATTGAGTGCCCCGCACATCATCGGAATTGAAAAGAGAAGATACAAAGAGAGGGAAAAAAATCATTAGTTAAAACACAAGAAAAATGTGAAGATCTATTGTAATGCAAAAATCCAGTTAAAACAGCAAATGAAAAAGACAAGAAAAGTGACTAATGAAATTTGTCCGCCGCTTGTCATCTTCTTTTTCGCTATAATTTAATCAAAAAAAAAAACGTAGGAGCGTCTTTTAACATCTCAAAACACGTACAAGTGGTGTCTCATTCTAATAAAAAGAGGCTGTAGATTGTCCCGTTCGCAACGAGAACTAGAAGGATGATTCCAGTATGGGTAATATTTATTTGATATAGATAAAAGTGCTACACGACGAAATAAAATAATGAAAGCTCTATTGTGAACAAGTGAAGGCCCGAACGTAAAATTTAATGAGTTCCAAAATAATTGAAAAGGATTGAAGAAAAAAAATTATGAAAAGAATGGCATACAATTTGAACACGTGAAGAATTTAAGCTGAAGGCGATACTCCTTTTCATTTGCATATTGCTTTTTTAGGTGGGGTTTGGTGCATGTCATTGAGACATTTGCAAAATGAATGGGGAACTTCAATGTCATACACATGCTCTTTTAAAATCCTTTAATTATTTTGAATTTTTACTACTACGCCTATGCAAAATCAATATTTTGTATTTAAACTGCTGAGTACAAGTGTGAGTATTTTCATTACGGTTATTGGTGGCGTACGCACGCAATCTTGTGTAATGACTCTGTGTGCTGGGTACTTGGTCGAGAGCACAATGAAAAAATTAAAATAAGGTGTGCAAAAAATTAAAAAGAGTTGACAAAATAATAATAAAAAGTCATTGCTCTGCCAGTTCAAGGCACAATGTGCGCTTTTTCTGCACCAAGTTATATTGAAAGCAGAGTTAAATTGAAAAAAAAAGGTGGAGTTTATAAACACCTCAAGAGCATTCCTTTATTTTCTCAAATCATTGACTCAGTGCATTAAATGTATGCGTAGGACGTGCTTATGTGTACTCAACAGCCACAAATAATGCACTCACATCAATTTACAATAAAAACAACCATATCGAAAAAGCAAAAAATTCTATCAACTTGATTGTAATACGGTACGTCGTTGATAGAAAAAGAAAACGGGCAAAATGATACGAGATTCGAAATGAAAGCACGATGATATTCGTATTGAGCAGCAACGGGAGTCAAAATGCTATGTTCATTGTATCGATCTGTGTGCGATGCATATTATTCGATACATTCCACACGTAATAATCATAAATAATGATAATAACTTCAGATTAGAATCAGATAATGCATATCATGTAACAAGAAATTGTTTCTCATTGTAGATTTTTCGCATAAAAATGCGTGTCTCGTCATTATGCTTAATGGTCTTCTGGCAGTCAAAAATTTTTACACAATGGAACGGAATGTATGCTTTGCACATCACATTTCACACATACATTTTTATAGACGTTCATTTAGTTATTTCAACAAAATGAACAACGCACAAATAGTTTTTTTTTTCGTGAAGTCTAACACTCCATTAATTTTCTTGGGAGCTGTGCGTGCGGTTATGCAGTTTACTTTTGTTATTGATATCGACGACGGTCATGGAAAACGATAATCGACAACCACTTGCAAACTTTTATTTGTCCCTGATAAAACGCTTCCTGAGACTACACAGAAGAAGGTAGAAATATTGCTTACCGTGTACAAACTTCGGCTAACAAGTAATGTAACAGCATTTTTATTTTCCGAAAATAGTGTTTCAGCATCCTCTTTGGACGATACATCACGTCCATTAACCTTTTTTTTTGAAGCGAAGTTGAGTGTTTTCATGTTGTTTCATTGGATGGTTTTTTTTCGCATGATTGCATTAGTTGTACATCCGATGAATTTTCGATGTGTTGTTGATGTGGAAATGACCCAAACGCCATGAAAGTAACAAAGAAAAGTGGACCCATGAATATCATAAAAACATCAAATTATCGTATATGTGTTTTCACTTATTAGTATTATTTTTTGCAAAAAAAATCCATGCATGTTAAATGGGCAGCTTATGAAGAGAAAAATTGTGTTTTTAAGCAAATTTCATAACAGTAATAATTTTATCGTCATAAGTCAACCACACCAGATTGTGTGTTGCAGTATAAACACTTCGTTTGGGCTTTAAAAAGGATTATTATGGTTTAAAAAATAACGGTGTACACACTTGTAAGATTTGGTCTCCTTGCCGTAGGCGTCCATCTCTTGCAGCTACGCTATTTTCAGCTATATCACTAATGTATACCTCCGTACAGGTATCCGCATCATCTGAGCCGGACCCAGAGCCATTTCCCGAACTGTAACTCACCGTTAATCCGATTCGCTCTTCACTATTATTTTTACGTAGCGTGACTTCCTGTTATTTATTTCACCATTTTACCATATCCGTGTGATCGATGCGTTTTTTATGGCCCAATTGTTACCGGTTATTTGTATTTTTGTTTTCAATTTAAATGCCGAAAGGATGAGCATGAAATGAGAAAATTAAAAAAAAAACAATGTATAATTTATAAAAATGGCTTAATTTGACTATATTTCGCTATACACAGTTCGTTTACAGATTAAATATAGTGAAAGCATACACACGATGAACCAAAATGAGTGCGCCATTTATTAGCATTCGCAGCAAGCGAACCAAAAGTTTTATTACTCGGATTATTATTGTTATTTATGAGTTTTCACTTCTTCAGAATTATGAAATAATTGTGTATTCGTTGGTGGCACCATGCCCAACAAAAGTTAACACTGATTGCCTGAAAGCATGGTGTTATTTATTATGATTTATCAGCAGATAATACACATTCGCTTGGCTTAATTTCGACCTTACACACACTCTCTCTCTCTGTGTGTGTGTGTCTTTTATTTGAAAAAGCAAAAGCACAATGGACCAACACCAACTTTTAATTATTTGGACCGCAGTATTTTTTCTCTGTTTGCATCGGTCCACAAAATGTAAATGATTTCAGAGGAAACACCAGAATAATTATAAAGCTTAAAACAAAACGGTCATGTACTGTGGAACAAGAGTATGAACATTTTTGTCAAGCATTAAATAAAGCTGTGATATTATTTAAATGTGAAATGATAGACGAACATTTTAAATTAAAATTTCATTTTCCGACAAAAATCAAATAAATACCAAAACAAAATACACCCTCAAAAACTCGGCAAGGCCGAAAAATGGTGATGCGCAAAAATGTCATCGGCGACGAACGAAAAATCAAAACGATAATAATATAATTACATGTTTCAAATGTTCGTTTATAAAGACGACTCTGACTATGGGGAGCCTTCAAAGCAGAATAGGCGGCACCATATCTACATAAATATGCAAATGACGAAATTTATTAAATTAACACCCAAGACTTCTATGATATTTCTTGTACATTTTTCTGACTTTGTTTAACAAAAACAAATTCTCCAGTTTTCACATCCAATTTTTCTTATTTTTATTTCTCTTTATTTACATTTTCTTTTTGGGCACTTGTTTCCTTTTTCTTATCGTTTGAACTCAGTTTTTTTTTATAAACAACAAAGTGCACACATAATAAGATCAAAAGGCAACGCTTTTTTTCTTATCAATCAAAGAACTATATTGCAAATATCATAATGCTGATGATACACTTTAATGGGGAGTCAAAAGCAGGAACGTCTGTTATGAATGTTCAATACACGTGAAAATGAAACTTTTTGCAGTAAACGAAATACTTTTATAACTTCATCAACATCTATTGGAACGATTCTTTGTTTATTTTTGAATAAAAGCTAAACAGATGCTTGAAATTGCACGTCAACACCTTTGACTTCGATGGCTAAACTTCTTACCTGGCATTGAAAGCATGATTGATTCCTTTCTTATGAAAAAACAAATTTCTCTTGCTAAGGAATAATCGAGTTTTGTAAAACAAAAAAGGAAACCCCCATATCTATTTCTTGAAGGATGTGTATTTGTGTATGTAAGGAAAAAACATAGTACAAAGAATTTGTTAAAATTATTACGCGTACACTCAACGTTCTATATTTTAACAAATATAAATTGCCTCTGACCGAAAACGAAGGCAGCATAAATGCTTTATCTTCACATTTATCTCACTGAAAAGACTTGAAAAAAAAGAAAGTTATAACGGTCATTGCGTGTGCATCAATTCCGGAATTGTTGGTGCGAAAATACAGCATTTTTGTGATGCGAAATACAAGAAAGCGAATAGAGAAAAACAAAGGGAATCTTGAGAATTATCCCGCAGAAATTTGTTAATCGGATGCCAGATGATTTAAATATTTCGCTACGGTGTCTACTGTTTCCGGTCTTACAACGTTCAAGCTGAACCACAGAAGGCGTTGTTATCATAGCAACCGCTCTGCATCCCATATATTTTGAAAGATACATTCTGTCAATTTTTTGTTCGAAAGATGTTCAGAAAGCAGAGAAAGTGTCATTTTTTTCGCTTGTTTTTTGTTTTGTTTTTCTGGGAGCATTTGATGAACGCTATATGCGATCGTTGTTTCTATTAAGTTCTTGTGTTGGCTATATTTCGAATTTCCGGGCACCGAATATGACTCGCCGACTATTCACGTCGACTGCCAATGGAATTATAATTCAGACCACGTTGTTTCAAGGTATGATGTTGTACGCGCTCTGATATTTATTGCTTAAGCGGATGTGAATAATGTGAGCATTGGTGCGTTATGCAGTGCGATGCGGAGCACAGAATGGGAAAAAAGCCAAGGAAAATATTAACGAATATGAAACCAACAATTTTGCGTACTTAAACTCAGCGAATAAATCAAGATATAATTAAGAGGTTGCAAGATAGCAAAACGACATCGAATATACAAACATGTACAAAATTACCTTTTTTCGGTAAAACATTCCCATAAAAATGCAGCATAAATTGAGATGAAAATAGAGCTTAAGAATTGTTCCTTATTATTGCTACAATTTTTTTTTGAAGTTTTAAAATTAAGATGAATTTCCATTCTCTTGGAGATTTCGTTTTGTATTATGTTTAAAAAAAAATTGAGCGGAAAAAAATGTTCACGTTGAGAAAACGTATCAAAATCATTAATACATTTAAGTAACGTTCCATCTCTCATTTTTCCTCTGTGGTTTTTTCTTCTTTGTTTTTGCCTTACGTTTAATGAAAAATTGAATGCATTTAAAGTGGATAAAAGTAAATTGCAACTAAAATGGAACACGAGAAAGAAAAAAATAGCACCGCTTCAAATCGTATCGTTATTATATTCGAAATCGTCTAGACGATTTTTACAAATTTATAACACAATGAGATTTTCATTAAGTTTTATTTCAACATTTTTTTCCCCCTCTTAATCATTCGTTTGTTCAATTCTGTCATGTTACGCTTTGTTCACTTTCGCGCCGTGCTTACATAAATTGCAACTACATTAAAACATATTATGCATTAAAATTCGTATAATATTTTCGTGTCTTCGTTTTGATTCGTCTCCGCTTAAATGTCGTTTTCGTTGTCGTTCACACTCAACTCCAATTCATTTTTCAACTATTTTCGTTCTGATATTACCGCAATTGTCTGTGCTTTTGTTTTTTTTCTGAATTGAAGGAAAAGAGCACATTTTAAAATTGTGATAATATTTGTATTTGAATGGAGCTTTTCTCTCTCTCTCTCTCTCTCCCGCTCTTTCTCTCGCCATAAAGGCATATATCACCTAGGCATCGTTATAAAGAATCTTCAATGTTAATGTTAATGATTTTAACCGTATAAAAGCGAAGGAAGATAAATTAAGGCTGAAAGAAAATTACATTTGCCATGGTGACGGAGTTTGATACGTTTCCTTCTCGTAATATGGTGGAATAAATAAAACTACTATATCCTTTTGGCGCATAGCAAATTTTTCGTTAATTGTGCATCAAGTGTTAAGGAGAGAGGAGAGAGAGAAAAACAACTAGACATACAGGATGTACACTTCAATAGATTTAAATTCATGCCAGAAATTGCTTGCCATGCAAAACAGCAATATACGGTATTTTAATATATCAAGGTAAATTTAGTATGATGTCTATTCACGCAAATTGCACTGCGTTTTATGTATAACTCCAATATCATAAGTCGTATGAAACGAATGAAATTAACATTACACATTTCTCTGCTCTTCGATACTCTGCAGCAATCGATAAAAGTTATGTGGTGGCATTCAAAAAATGGAGTTGTTATAGAAACGTGCAATATATTTTCGACAATCAAGATGTACAATAGAATGGTATGTAAAAACTGAAATTCTGTTTTTTTTTCTCTACCAAATAGACGATGAAATTTCGTGTGAATCATAAAACATGAGAAATTGCACACAATACAGTAAATTCCATCCATTTAAACTACGGGGTGCACTACGGCCATTTGTCAGTGTGCATGCTATAGCACGTATATTACATTGAAACGAATGTGAAGTTGAATGAGCAACGTTGAGCACGTTCTCGTTTGTCTACACGCCAAAATTGTACAGTTGCACAGCATTTTTATTGTGAAAAAAGTATAATCATGTTGAATAAAATAATCATAAATACTATACCATGATTTTGCGTTATCAAAACGTTTATAATCACTTTAAAATAGACTAGAATTTCATATGCGGCTCGTGTAACTTGTTTCTTGTGTTTTGTGCGTTTTATGTTAACCAATAAAAGCGTTTTCTACTTCTTACGAATTGAATTGAAATCTAACGTCGAAAAAAAAAAACGTTAAAAAAAGGAAACAGAAAAATGTGAACAGTTCTCAACTATTCATATATCATTGATTGTTGCATACCAGAAATTGCAGAGTATCGCTAGGTTGCGTTCCATATTTCTCGGAATGCATTTAGAATTCTAGATCAAGATTCAATTCTCGAGCACAATAACTCATATCACATTCACACCTTCCGTGCTGAAATGCATAGAATTTTCATTTTGTGTTTTACACACATATATTGTGATCTTATTCTTCTCTCCCCCACACGGTTTTTTAAACTGTTCCTTATACGTCCGTTTGCACACTCTTTCGATTTAGAAAATGTAAATTTTAGAATAATAAACAAATGGTTTACATTAAAAGAACGAACGGCAGAGGTAAAATGAGAAAAATGTGTGCACTTGCCACACAATGGATCAGTTCAAGTATATATATGAATGCGGTGACAAAATAATGGCACCAAAAACACAAAGAAAAACCATGAACCAAGCAACTCCTTTATTAAGATCCATCTCTAAATAAATACCAAAGATGGAATTCCTTGAAACTGCCATCATTTTGTGCTCTCATTTCTTTACGATACATTTTTCACTGCATAATTCCGAATGCACATGTAATTTGTTAAAAAGATTGTCATTGAACAACGAAACGA